CACACACACACACACACACACACAATACATTTAAAATGTATCATAATCACATAAATGAAATATCTCTGCACTTTGAACCAAAGATGACATGATAATATATCCATTTAAACAACAAAACAAATTTATATGACTAACATCGACTGTTTTCCATGAAACTGTTGTTTTGTGTTTTTGGAGAAATTGTAAGAGAAACTGAAATTGTACTGTAAACTGATATTTTATATAAAAAATGTGCTCAAAGGACCAGTACATGACTGAAATCCACACTAAACGTCCTTTGCGAACCAATTAGAGACATCTATGATTGGTGCATCTGGACCAGCGCTGAGAAAAGTAACAAGAACCACATGGAAAATCTTATTGCGCTGAAGCCCACCCATTTCCATCGCTCTTTGTTTACTGCTTCTTGATCCTAACTCTCACTCTATTTCTTTGAAAGGGAACCTAAATATATATATATACATATAAAACTTTATTACTGGTACTTGGTAGTACACACCATAATAAAATTGTGTTGTAGCAAAACACCCGGGTTGGCCCAATCAAATGTCTCCTCATGACGTCATGCGCGTATTGGCTCCTCATTGGTCAGGGAGCTGTGTTGGCAGCGTGTAGCACTGTTTGAATTGTGCGTGATAGAAGACCTCAAAACTACGATATTAAGAGCTGGTAAATAATGCGTTGGTTTTGTGTGTTTTGATTGCCTGAAATTGGTAGACTTGCGAAATCTAGGGCCTAGAATAGAGAGAGAGTGTGTCTGACGTCGCGCGGTCGTTTTGCATTTACCAATTTTAATAGTTTTGTATGTGAACTGAAGAATACGTTTTGTATTCCGATATTTAATGTGAGATTAGCGTTTTGAATTTACGCGTTGGCGTGGGTTATTAACGGATACGCACTAATCTCGCAGGTGAAAACTTTTCAGTTGTCCAGGGAGCGTATAAGAGAATACTGTGCTTTTAGCGATTAACAGTTGCTTTTGGTCTGTTGCAGTCTGGCGCTGTTGATCTGATATTGTGTGGCCATGCGACACAATAAATCGGCACATAAGCGAAAGCTATCGACCCCCAGGCGCCGATCTCCCCCCGAGCCGCCACCGCCACCCTCGACATCCAGAGCCCGGCGCACCAGCGGACCCTCCGGTGAGCTCTTTCGTGTTGGCTTCCTTCTCTTAGCAGTGTGTAATGCAAGTACACGGAAATGTTTCCATGCAATAGTGGTCAGGTGGGTGACGTAGTGGTTAAAGACATAATTATCGTCATCATTAGCATAATGTAAACTGCCTTTCTGATCATGTGGTTATTTACACCAGCCATGAGAAAAATTAAATTTTTTTTTTTTTGCTTCAGATTGTTCTATATAGCGAATTTCTATCATTAAAATCTTACAACAAATTTGGAGGAAAAAAACTTATAAATAAAACCATATTTGCAAGACTTTTTTTAGTTTAATCAGTCTTATCAGTCTTTCTTTTTCATTTATATTAATCGTCAAAAAGCAACATAATTCTTGTTTCTCTGCAATAGTAAAACTGATTTAAAGATTAAAGACAAGAAAATTATTTTTAAACATGATTTCACATCCAGCAGGTGGCGACACGCACTGAATGTAAATATTTTTAGCGTCCGTTTCCATAGTAACTCACGGATGCGGCGCTCTGTTGAGAATGTCTTTCCTGTGTTCGCCGTTAAAAAATTAGTTAACTGAACTTTCTCCCAGGCGCATTCTTTGGTTTATGGGACGGTCATATTAACCCTACTTTCTGGTGAACTGAACATGTAAAAAGTGAACTGTATTATTGTGAACTGTGTAATGTGCTTTCTGTTCTAGAAGCGTCCCCTCGCAAGAAACACAGGTTTCGCCCTGGCACTCGAGCTCTCATGGAGATCCGCAAATATCAGAAGTCTACTGATCTGTTGCTGCGCAAGGCCCCGTTTTCACGACTGGTACTACTGCTTCAGTGCATCCTTCAACAAGCACCTCAGATCCCATGACAAGCCTTTTGACACCCAATAATTCGAAACATGAACATGCTGTTTTCATTGATGTAACAGTAATGTAAACATTTTTTCCTCCTGACAGGTGCGAGAGGTGTGTCAGACATTCAGTCGAGAACACATGATGTGGCAGGGATTTGCTCTAATGGCTTTACAGGAGGTAGGTGACAATTAAGATTTATTTTTCAATTTATATTGTATTATAAAATGGAGAGTTCCGGCCCTGGCTGCTGATTGGTCTGTGGAAATAGCTAATATATCTAAATCACTGCACAGAGGCCAACTGTAAACTTTTAAATTAACTATTAAAATTTGTGTCTTTGGTATTTTTATTATGTATGAAGGTGAATGTCAGTAAACGTGCAGTCACTCCAAAATCAAAAAATGAAAGAAGATTTAAAGATTAAAACTTTTTCTTTAAAGAAAAGGAAGTATATTTTTAGGCCATTAACAAAAAATTAAAAAGTCACTGTAATGTGTTTTGAAGTTCTCATTATTGCAATTTCATTTCAACTGAAAGATGAGGGTTGTAATAGTAAAGTTGACTAGAGGGACCCATAGGATAATAAATCTGGTGCACTGGTAATAGTTTTACATAATTAGTTCTGTATCAACAGCAGCACCACAGCAAAAACTATTGGAGCACACCCCCTTTAACTCTTTACTTATTTTAACTATTTTCATGCTGATAATAAGTACTATTAATATGTAACCTTCAGATTGCAAACAGCTTTCAAAATGCAGTGTAAATGCGGACTAATTTATTAATTAACAAAACTGCCGCACTTTTTTAAAGCTTTTCGTCCTATCCGTTGCTATGGTATCAATATTTCTATGATGGTTGTGGTTGTTACTCTCAAAACTTGTATTCAAATTGTGAATTGGTAACATTTAGAAAGCGAGAGAATAACGAAACAAGCTGAATTCGACACTCCTTCTAAAAAAATCAAAGAGGCTACTACAATGAATGCGTAATGAATAACGTATTTACATTATGTTTACACTTTGCTGGTTGTAATGAGAGGATTCGCGAGCATGCAGGAGCTCACACTGAATACATGCTTGAGCAGTGTTGAGTGGATTCTGACTCCGATTGGCCATTGTGTTCATGTGCTTGATTGGCTACAATGTTTAACTCTGCAGAAATACATTGTAAATAGAAATTAAATACAAACACAAATACGCATGGCAGCGGGTACCAAATACATTCTGTATTGGGTTTGTAAGCCAAACTGTTTTACCAATATGCTGTTATAGTGCTCTTGCATTCATTTTAGGGTTCTTAACACCCCTGTAGAAACCTGTACTTACCGCCCACTCACCTAATATGTGACCCTGGACCACAAAACCAGTTATAAGGGTACATTTTTTGAAATTGAGATTTATACA